TGAGGACTCATCCTGTATTGTGGTCGGTTTGGAAGTGCAGAACCAAGAACTAGATCGATCTAGTGCTGGATATCACGCAGAGGTGGTAACCTTTAAGGTAAGTCTGTCGGGAAAACATTACCAAACTCTGCCAATAACTTAGCGATCTCTGGTAACAACAACTCTTGCGATTCCGTTCCCTGAGCTCCTGGCACCAGTAACCACCCAGTCACTACCAGGTCAAGCTCAAACTCTGACCGTGAACACAACAACATGGATGGAGAAGAAGCCGGCAACACGGTAGGTAACTTCATGGCGACAGTACGTCGATGAGCCTCTGTGACTGTTGCAGGATCAAACTATGAAATTGATTTTTGAATGGGGTCTCAGTCCTCCAATAAATCGAGACAACAGTTGCATTTCATTGTCATAAATCTCACTGCCTGTGAAAAGCAAAGAAAATTCCTCGTCGTAATCATCAACCGTACGATATCCTTGCCGCAAGTTTTGGAGCTTCGTGAACATGGTGCAGTCAAAATTGTAGGGAAAAAAACTGCTCTTCATCAACTTTTGCAACTTCCCCCACGATCAGATCTTCTCCTTAAATGCACATAGTCTCGTCGCTTTGAATTGTAACCACCATGAAGCTGTTCGCCCTCAAAATTTGGTGGCAACTAACACTATTTTACGCTCTTCCGAAACTCTCTTAAACTCCATTGCTTCCTCCACTATCACAAGCCAATCGAGAATTTTCTCTCCGCGCACACCCCCATGGAACTCGAACATCTCCACTTTGAACCCCGATTCCCATCGCCTGTCATCTCGTTCACGGTAGACGTCACTCCCATCATCCTCACGGTGAGATCTGTTGGCTGTAAAAGGGTTGACACACATCAGAGTCACGCTGAGATCCACGACGTCGCTGAACACGCTGCTGCACCAACACCTCAGCAAGTTCCATGATTGAGTCATGAATGGTAGCCTTGATATTCTCCTGCATTTCAAACCTGTCTCATTTCTCTCCACTCATCTGCCACATATTCCCTTGGGTTTTGTCTTGGTGGCATAATATGTCGTGAGAATTTTTTTTAAAGAATTTTGGCTCTGATACCAAACTGGTGTAGCAGAAGCGTACACAAACCTGCAATTTGTTGATTCTCTGATTACCCGAATAAGAGGTTCTTCTGGATTAATAGCTCTGAAAAGCTACTTAATCGAAAAAGAAAAGGAAGCTAAAACGCTTTGATTAATTCAATATCAATGTGAGTTGTTTACAAACTCTCGTACTCCTTATAAACTACTGAAAATCCTTACTCCTAACCTAAAAATATGCCAAACAGAAAATAAGATAAAATTCTAACACTTCTCAAATATAGGAAACCCATTAAACCGTAAATAAACAAAAGATGCACTGCATCAGGGAAGAAATTGCAAGAATTGCTAAAACTTTTCCCGAACATGCGCCTGATCTAGTGAAGCGATATGTAGAATATATATTGCTCAATCTTCAGGTTTACAGTTCTCTTCTCTTTGTGTTTTGATGTTTGTTCCTAAAAAAAAAAAGCAAACTTTGAAGAATTTTTTTTTCTGACTTAAACTTAATATCAGCGTATTGATAAATAGGATTTTGAGGAGAACATCTGCATAATGCACAAGGCCATAGAAATGGTGTTATCGCCACGTGGCTGTATACCGGAAGAAAAAAACCGCCAAGAATATGAGAGAAAGGTACATTAAAACTAAATTGTCTCTTTTTGATAATTACAATGTAATAAGAAGAATCGAATCAAACTTTTGTGAATTTTGGCAGGAAGCCATAAAGAAACAACATAAGGAGGAACTTGCAAAAATTGCTAAAACACTTCCCGAAAGTGCCCCTGATGTAGCGAAGCAATATGCAGATTGTGTAGCTCTTACTCTTCAGGTTCACACTACTCTTGTCTTTATATTTTGATGTTTGTTTTTCAAAAAGAGCAAACTCTGGAAAAGATTGATTTTTTTTTCTTTTCCTTCTGAAACTTGGGCAATGCAGCGTACTGACCGATGTGATTTTGAGGATAAAGTCCACATAATGCACAAGACCATCGAGGAGAGTTGTCACAGGGCTACAAGTAGCAAAGCTGAATAAGATTGTTGTGTTCTAATAAATAGGTCGTCGAAAGGTCGGCATTGTTCTTCATGTGTCCTTTAATATTTTCTTGAAATTTTCTTTTGTTTGAACAACTTTGGCTAAATTATGCTCATTTTCGCTTATGTTGTTCTTTTGGTGACTCTGCTCTGCTACTACTATCTATTCAGAATATTATTTAGTGCATAAAAACAATTTATATGCACCATTTGGCAAATCAACACAACAATAACCCATAAGTCTCTCCAGGTGATGACACCTAAGCTTTTTCAGACTTTTTCAACATGACATCTCAGCAAAAAAATCACCCAATAAGAATATTTTATTAATACAACTCATTTAAAAAAAACTTTCAATTCATTTGGTCAAAAATTTTATCCAAGATTAACAACTAAATAAAACCCATTACATTTGAAAGCCCATAAGATCATTTGATATAAATAATTATTTAAAACAAAACAAAATTTCTCTCTTTTTACCTTCAAATTATCATTAAATATCAGGTCTCCTCAATCTTATTTTATTACTCTGCCTGCTGCATCGGATTTATGTGTTCTTCTTTTTTAAGAAATATGGATAAACAACAAGATACTATTAGCAATTTTTTGGTTTACTTTCTCAGAAAACAATCTTTTAGTTTTAAGTTTGATAATTATTTTGCTTTCTTTTTAGGTAGAAAGATTCTCAAATTATTATCCTAATATAGTTCAACTTTTGGCTGACTTTTCACAGGAAAATACAATTTCACAGTTTTTTTTAGAAAATGCAATTTGACGATTTTGGCGGAAAAATGCAATTTCTCAGTTTTGTTAGGAAAATACGATATCTCGGTTTGACGAGAAAATAATTTTTCTTGGCTTTGGCGGGAATAAGGAATTTCTCAGTGGTTTCGATAGAAAAATGTGATTTTCAGTTTTGGTAAGAAAACATAATTTTCGGTTATGGTAGGAAAAGTGAATTCTCGGGTTTAGCATGAAAATGTGAATTTTCAGTTTTGGTAAGAAAACAAAAAAAAATTGATTTTGACGATAAAACAAAATATCTTAATTTTGACGGGAAAATGTGATTTTCGGTTGTGATGGAAAATGCAACTTTTCAATTTTGACTAAAAAAATGTGATTTCTCTGTTTTGATAGGAAACACAAATTTTCGACTTTTGATGGATAATATGATTTCTTGGTTTTTGCATGAAAATGAGTTTTCTTAGTTTCGAGAGAAATTGCAATTTCTCAGTTTTGATGGGAAATGTACATTATCAGTTTTTGACAAACATTGCGATTTTTTGGTTTTCGTGGAAAAAAAAATTTCTCAGGAAATAATTTAATTTTTGATTTTCGCGAGAAATTGTAGGTTATCGGTTTTGGTCAGAAAGCGTAGTTTTTGGATTGACGAGAAAATAAATTATTTGGTTTTGGTGGGAATAGACGATTTCTCGATTTCCGTGAGAAAATGAACTCTTCGGTTTTGACGGGAAAATACGATTTTGGGGTTTTTGTAAGAAGATGAAATTTTTTGGTTTTGGTGAAAAAACGTAATTTCTCGATTTTGGCGGAAAAACACAGTCTCTCGCGGGAAAATGTGGTTTCTTAGTTTTTGCGAGAAAATACAATTTCTCTGTTTTAGTGGGAAAATAAAATTTTTTGTTTGACGATAAAATAAATTTTTTTGGTTTTGGCGGAAATATGTGATTTCTCAATTTTCGTAGGAATATGTAATTTTTTTGTTTTGACGGGAGATGCGATTTTTTGGTTTTTGTAAGAAGATGAAATTTCTCTTTATTAAAATTTCAAGTTACAATATGTTTACAATAACCAAAATTTAATTATTTAACTTCAACTAAATCGAAAGTTCAAGAGTTTAAATAGAATTTTCTGTTTGGTTCGAAAGCAACAACAATGGTTTTAATATGAATGTTATTGGTTATAGTTTGGTGGTTTTAGAAACATATGTTTATAATAAATATTTGATAATAAATAAATTTTGTACTTCAAAATAATCATATTAATTAATAAATCTTTTTTTAAATGACATTTTGCTTGACATAAATACAGCGGAGGATCAAGTGGCAATTTAGTGGAGAAAATATATTATATTTACCATTAGCATGAAAATACTTAAAAATGTATTGCTTTATTCTTATATATACATTTATAGTTAGTTAGCTAAACAAATTTAATAGCTATTTATAATTTTAAAAAGTAAAAAAACTAAGGATATACAATGTTTATTTAGATTTAAAACATATAAATATATAACTTAAGCTAATAAAAAATAAAAAATACTCATTTACATTATAAAAATAATTTTATTATATTAAAAATATATACAAAATTTAGAAAAATATCCCGCAGCGCAGCGTAGCACGGGTAAATACCTAGTGTAACCAATTTTAGACATAGATGTAAATTATCAGGCCTGGCTATCATGCATGTGATTTTTTTTTTTTGATGTACATATTTTATATAGGTGTTGTGAAATCGAAAGAAAATAATAGAAAGAACTTTAAAAAAAAAAAAAAATTAATTCATTTACAATGAATGAATGGTTTACATAATCCTCTAAAGTTTTTTTTACGATTTAGTATCTCGCCTCATGGTTTTCTAGTTCAGTTTATATCTCGAGAGTTTACCAAATACCTCTAAGTAGATAGATACTCCAAACAATATACACCAAACTACGATGCAATTGCTGTATAATGAGTTTTACAAATGCTAAAAACTTCTGCTTAACTCAACACCTATCACATAAACCGCTAGTGTCCTTATTACATATTGTTTATACATATTGCAAGAAAACATAAAATGAATCATATAGTAATAACAAGCTCGTTGAAATGCTTTTATGTTTTGAATGTTAATTATAGGACAAATGATGATGACGTTCAGTCAAACTAAAAATTGGGAATGAACAATAAGAAAACTGAAAAAAAATTAAGAAAAAAAAAACAGAAACGTAAGCAATGAGAAATCATATACGAATGGGCAAATCTTGAATCCATCCACCGTTATTAATGAAGTTGAGATCAACCAAACTTTGAACGACAGCTCCACTTGGCTTCTTGACCCAACTCACACGTCTCGATGTATTTGCTCCACTTCCAAAGCATCCATATTCTTCATAGGTCAGCTGGTACTCACGACCTTTGAAGTACCATGCGTCCCAACCTTGCGGGACAACCACGTCGGTCATGTTTGTATTGTAAAAGATCACTCGAGCGTAACCGCGCCACGGTCTGCCCAAGTAAGCGTTGCCCGTTCCGTGAACAAGGCTTTCGATGAACACGAACCCGTTAGCGTCGTACGGGTTGGTCCGTCCTTGAGCCGTTATGTAACCAGGTACTCCTGGTGGTAGCAGCGCTCCTAGCACTTGGATCACACATCTCTACAAAGCCACCAAATTAAACACGAATTTATTTAATTAAACTAAACCATAATAATTAGGATTTGTAGTTCTATTATGTGCAAACAAAAGGGTCATTATTCTTAAGGGTTAACCTAAGAATCAAGTTTTATTAGGGAGTACTTTTTTTTGTTTTTCGGGTTTTTGAGGGACGGTTACAAATAAAAAAATCAAATCTAATATATAAATAATTTTTGGTACGTTTTGGTCCGGATTCAGTTTTATTTTTCCTTCTCATATGTTTCTTTACTTTGAAGGAAAATGACATTTCAGTTTTTTCTCTTTTCGGTTTTGTATATATTAGCCATTATTATAAACAAAAGTCTAGCAATCTATTTGGATTTCGATTTTATATCATTCTTGCTAGGTTAGTTATTAAGATCCTGTTATAATAATAAAAATTGGCATTGTTTATTATGTGAAGAATGTAAAGGATCACCTTGTAAATAGATTGACCGTTACCAAAGATGAAATCAACAGCGCCTTGGATAGTGCAGCGGTGAAAGTAGTGTCGGCCTTCGGTATCCCACAAAGTATCTTGAATTCCGGCAAACCCTACCGAGTAAAATGCCGACTTATCACCGGCGATCATCGCCGCCGCCGCAGGAACCCTAGGGTTGTTGTTCACTTTCCCATTTCTCGGGAAATTATAGGTATTCTATGAAAACACAAAATGAAAAAAAAAAAATAACCCATTTTTAATATTTAATCAAAGAGAATCGATCAACAGAAGAAAAATTCACCGTACCACGAAAGTGAGGCTTTTAACGACGGTGTTATCAGCTTCAGTAGCAAAGGTAGGGCTTTGTGCAACCGAGTCATGATCGTCCCATTCAACTCTTGTTTTCCTCTTTCCAGCTCCAACTATTACTATGAACGGTTTCTCATGCGGTATTTTTAGTTTCTCCCTAATACATAAGAGAAACGTTACAAAGAATTGTCGCATAATGTTAGAATACCAATTAAATGTGGCTACACTAACCTGTAAAGACCTTCTCCAACTTTGATGAGGAACCAATTACAATTGTTGGATGGGACCGAATCGATTGCGCTTTGTATTTTCGTGAAATTTCCATGTCCCGATTGATCAACGATCACTTGTTGGCTGTAAGCTCTGTATGGTATAGATTTGATGATATGAGGTAGACTGAGACAACAAAGAAGAAGGAGAGAGATGAAAGGTCGGTGAGTTTCCATTAGATGATGTCAAAACGTAAGAGTTTTAGGAGAGGGAGGAGAGAAATGAGGAGAGTAGTGGAGGAAATGCATTATTTTAACAAGGCTGTGAGATTAATGCTTTTTAATGTCAAATATTTTGATGAAGATTTATTACTTTGTGCTTCCTTTGATTTCGTGTGGAATCAAATTATAATTAAAATGAAATTGGCAAGTTTAGCTTTGTTTCTACATTTCGGTGCTCAAATCTTGTTTGGTTTTGTGTGATTATAAACCGAAAAAGGAAGTAGCGATATTTGTGATTGTGTTAACTGTTTAAGTTAGTGGGCGAGACTTTAAATTCGTTTAGGAATTCTTACAAAGATTCAGAAAATATAATCGTGATTTCTACTTATTTATAGAAGTTACATTGAAATTGGTAGGAAACTTGGAGTTAGTCATGCACTACTATATATTAGATATGATCCTCCATGGTATAAAATTATAATAGAGAATAAGTCAACAAATAATAAGTACAATAAAATCTCTATAAATTAATAATATTAAAACTTAAAAATTTATTAATTTTTGTTTAGGATTTTTTAATGTTCATAAAAATACAATAAAAAAAATTTTTAACGTTATAAAATTCGTTCAAAGATGATATATCAATGATTTTTTTTTTGACAACTCAGGATAAATCTCAGATTTATAATTTGGTCCAAACTAATTTCTGGGGAGGTACAGCCCACGGATAAACCCTCTGTTTAGATATGCAAATGAGCCGAAAGCAAAGACACATCAGTGTGGATGTCCAAGGCAATGTGTTTTAGTTTTGCATAGTAGGTAGATCAAACTTGAAACGTGTTATATCAATAAAATTGAAAGATTATAAATTTATAACAATAAGAGAAATACCCTCAAATACATCTAATTTAAGTTTTTGTTCCTAATATACACTAACACCCTAAAAATTCTCTTATATAACATATTTAATCAAAGTTGACCAAATTGTCCTTCCAAAGAAGTCTATGACTAGATGAGGAGCCAGAAGAAGAGATGTCGGAAGTGTCTTGGAGGAGGCGGAGGAAGAGACGTCGGAAGCAGCAGCGTCGTCGAGAGAAGGTTTGCGGCAGTGTCGCTGGTTGAGGCAAAGGAAGAAATATTAGAAGTATTTTTAAGGACCTTAATTATCAGATCTGACATAATTGAGTGAAAAACTAAAGAAATCCAAGCTAAAACAACAACAATGGTGAAAGCAAAAATTGGCAGAAATTAGGGTTTGAATGTCGCAAAGATAAGGAAAGAGATAAGTGTAAATTTAGGAAATATTAGGAAGATTTTTCTAATACGTATAAATTAAGGAAACCATTACATGTATTTAGAAAAACTTTTATAAATCATATAATTTATTTATTTTTTTTTAATCTTCCATAAAGCATTTCCACAATTCAGGAAATCATTCCACAATTCAAGAAGCCCTTTCACAATTCAGAAATTTTTTAAAAATTTAAGAAAACTTTTCTAAATCATATGAAATGATGTTAAATTATAATATTTGAAATACCTTCTTGAAAAATCACAAAACATCAACAGAAAAAAACACATTCGGAAAGACTCTCATAAAGAACAAAATCGGAAAACTCAAATGAAAAATATTAAGGGTGGAAAATTTTTAGTTTACCTGTTATATTTGTCTTTCAGTGTAATTATGAAAATTGTCCAAACAACAATAGAACCATATTTTTCTCTATTACATTAGTTATATATATGTTTAGATGTATACTTATTAATTTATTTGATTACTGAAATCATATATTTATATAATAGTTTAAACAAACATATTATTTTATTATCTTATTAAATTTTGCTATTTTTTAAACTATTTCAAGCCCAAATTTAAATTTATTAATTCATTGACTATTAACTTATCAGATATTAATTTATATAAATTCTACTGTCTAAGGTTGGAACGTGAAAAATATCCTCGAAGATATTTAGGCCTAGAATCAATACAACAATAACACATAAGTCTCTCCATGTGTTGACAACTCAGCTTTTTTGTGTTATTAGAAGCGGACACATCAGCAAAATACTGAACCAATAAAAACATTTCATTAATACACTTCATCTCAATATTTTAACACATAGGCAAACTTTTTTCTTTTTATCATCAAAATTTTTCATTAATAAGACCTAATATGGACATTACATAGAAATTAAAGCCCAATATTATTATTTTGGGATAACTGCAAAATTAACCCTCACTATATCGATGACAAAAATTAAAACACACAATTTTTAATAATGTACTACGTGTTATTTTATAATTTTTTTATTTTTTTATTTTTTAAAAAGAACTAACTGAAGCACATTTTATATTAGCGACATCTTCTTTCTCATTTTCCCTATCATCATCTTCTTCGTCCATCTTCCTCAATTATTCTAGAAATTATCTAATTAACCTAACTAATTGATAACGTTTATTGGCAAACAAACCTAAAATTCTAATGAATCAATTAATATTGTTATCTCATCAAACTTACGATTTCATTTCTAAGATTTTAACTTCGTGGCAACTTTGTGGGGAAGAAGGATTTTTTAACCATGTATCTATTCAGGATGGTGGTTCTCGAAAGAGTTTGAAAAAGATCTGCAATCACATTGTGATGATGAATTTTCTGAAAGTTGAAACTTTAAAGTGGTAAAGCTTTGTCTCTGATGCTAAAGACGGATGAGATATCCAATTACTGTAACAGCAAATGTAGTTTAAGTTGTATTTAGGCTTGCGTTTAATACTTTAATGTTTTGGGCCTTTGTATTTGGGTGTTACTCCTGTATCATATCTGTCCTATGGTTTATTAATAAAACTATATCTAAATATAGTGTGAAGTTTGAAGGTTTAATATATACATATAAGTGTGACTAATGTTTAGGTATGATAATGTTAATGTTTACATGTTTAAAGCAAAGATATGAGAAAAAGTAAAAAATCCAGAAAATTATGTTTTCTATATATTGAAATTAAATAATTTTTTATACTTTGACAAAGAGAGAGTGCACTAAATTTTAATTAATTATCAAAAGAATGAATATTTTTTAATCAAATTATTGTATACTTATGAATGAATATTTGAAAGTATATTAAGTTTTTGAAAGCAAATAAATTATGTTTAAAAGTATCAGAGATCTGATCGAAAAAGTTGTTAACCGCCTAAATCTCGACCAGTGACTATGATTCAATAGATGAAAGAAACGCTGATATGATTTGGAGAATGGGAGAAATGGCGACATTGTGAAGCCATTTTCGTAGTTGCTAGAATTGTTTCTAGCATATGTGAGAGAAGAAAAACTGAAGAAAAATAAAGTTATAAGATCTGAGGTCAATTAAATATGAGCTTTAAACATTTGACATGGTTATTTGATTTCTTTCGATATATTTTGTAGTTTTTTTAATTTCTAGAGCTAAGGTAGCGATCTGGTCAATATATAAACTTAAGCTATAGTAAATATGTATGCTAATGTAAATTGTTGTTTCATTTGTGGTTTTTACTAAATATTTTTTTAATGCTAAAGAAATATTAATGTTAAAATAATTATTTTAGTTAGTGTAAGAAAAATATACATTAAAAGTTTCATAATTAAAAATATAAATATAACCTGCGAATAGAGAAATTTATGATCATAAGTAAACTAATACGTAAAATGTGTTTTTTTAGTTTTGGTTGATAAATGCGATTTCTCGATTTTACCAGAAAATATGATTTTACCAGTTTAGAAAAAAAAATATAATTTTTCAGATTTCGTTAGAAAATCATAATTTGTAGTTTTTTCGAAAAATATGATTTTAGTTTTTTTATTATTTTTAAATTTAATAGTATTTTAGTCATTTGTCATTTTGAACTGAAACATATTTATCAAGATGATCCAATTTGGTTCATTCAGATAATTCTCATAAATTTATCTAAATCTTGAAAAACCATCTAGATAATTCATCTAAATATTTTTTGATTTTATTACAAAACAAACAAAATTCTTATTTTTATTCAAATGAACCATATAGATGGAAGAATAAATAGGGCCTAAATCCAAAACTTATGCTAAATAAAAAATAAATATAATATTTATTTATACTGTAGAAACTAACTTTTTATTTTTAAAATATATAAAATTTAGAATAACATCCTGCAGCATAGCACGGGTAAATACTTAGTTCAATTCTTAATTTTCTTCTTCTATACTGTACTTTCTCAAGGCTTTGAATGAGTGAATAGTGTTTGCCTTTCTATATTTTATAATTTTTTTTCTTTTTTTTTCCAAGACAAAATACAAAAAAAAAAAACTTTTATCCTTTCTAAGTGTTCAAAATAGGACTCGAGATTTTTATTTGTTTATAACACGCTTAAAACAGATTTGCTTATCATTCTTCAATGGTAGTAAATTTTAAACTTCAACATCAACTCAAACCAAAGAAGGAAAACTGACTAAGGCTTTGATTGGTAACTCATGACATTCATTTACTTTGAATTAAGAGTATGACTCAAGAATGTTACCAATCAAGAGTCAAACTAGATTTATTTTTTTTATTTTAAATTTAAGTTTTGATGGGTAATAGTTGATGTACAAATTTTAATGTTTGTATCAGATATTTGTTACCTTTTGAATCATTCAAACAACAAGTGGCAAATTTGTTTTGGAATTCACCTTAGGTTTTTTCTATTACTATAATTATATATTTTTAGTTTGATTAATTTGAAGTTAGTATTAATTTTTAATTGATTATTATTATAATTTATAACAAACATAATCATTATTAATATTTTTCTTCCAAATTTGTTTTAAATTATACATATCACAACTAACACATCATAAAATTAGTAGTCATCTTTTTTTTAACTAAAATGTTAACTTAGATTTCTATAAGAAACTTACCACATAAATTTATTATTTTTACCATATAATTTTACGGCAATTACATAGAATCTAAACAT